GGGGGGGGACCCCGAGCGCCGCCCTCTCGCCGGACCCTCCCCCGCCCCTCCTCCTCCTTGCTCCCCCCCAGAGAGAGACGACCCCCCTTCACTCCCGGGCACAGCTGATCTTGGGGAAAGGGGCGCCCCAGCCCAGGTTGAGGGGACCGCGAGGGGAGCCTCCAAGTGGACCGTGACCCCCGGCCCGCCTCACTTGTGCCCTCTGGACAATGGGGCAGTAACCGCCTCCGCCTCCGGTGCCCCCGCAGGAGGGGGAGCCCCGCCGCCCCCTGACCAGGGCCCCAGACCTTAGGGGAGGAGATGGACAGGGTCCCGGCCGGTGGAGGAGGGGGCGCCCTGCCTCCGCCAGCCCGCAGGTCTGCTTCTCCCCGGCTCAGGTGGAAAGAACCCCAGGTCTCCCCGATCTGCCCCGCTGCCTGAGCTGGGGGGAGGGCGAGTAAGCAAAGAGACCGGAAGTTTCCGGAGTGGCTGAGGTTTGTCTTTGCTGCTCTTCTTCCCCTGGCCTGGGAGTTCCCTATTCTTTGGGCCAGGGGCAGGGACAGCAATGGGGTGTCCAGAGAATTCATTCTAGTTTCCCAGGGGCACAAATGACTGGGGGGGGGGTACCTAGGCAAGCTGCTCTGGCCATCTTGCTCTGGGCCTCCACATTCCTGGTGTGTCTCTCGGCAAGGAACTAGGACTTACACCCCTGCCCACAGCTAGTCCAGAGTCATCTGTGTGTGTGTGTGTGTGTGTGTGTGTGGTCAGTCCCCGAGTCCCAGCTCTGGGTACTTCCCGTTCTGGAAGCCAGCCCCAGGCCTCTTCTTTCCGGGGTAGGCTGACAGTTTGAGGGGTAGGGAGAAGAGAAACTTTGCTCCTATCCCTAAAATGGATGGGCCTGGATGGCTCTCCAGGCCTCCTTCAATGTCAAGGTCCATCCTCTGTCAGGACTGGGCCCTGGGTGGAGGAGGAAGCAAACCTTCCAGCCAGTGGAATGTGCTCAGTCTGGGATGAAGGAGACAGGCCACACCTGGGTGGGCCCCACCTGGGAGGGGTGTTGGACACCGTGGGGGTCCAGGTGTCCCAGGGCAGAGGGGTTCCTA